CGTCCGAACTGCGAAAGCGTTGAATCTGTAAACGTAGCACTTTCCGAAACTCACTATTACCGACTTTAATAGTCACAGATATACCGTCTAGGTGAGGGATTATATGCCAAGACACAACTTGTGAATAAGATACTAAATACAAAGTAGAGGTTTGCCGGTTGTAGAGACTGTTCCAAAACGCTAGCTTACACTTTCATATATCTTACGATCTAAGATTTTAACTGAGGTGTTACGAGCCCGGGCCGTAGCAACGCGAGTGGCCGGCGAGTGTAGGTTTTCCAAGAAATATGGTATCACTTTATTAGTAAGTTGCGCGGATGAATCTGACGCGAAGCCAGAAGGCCGCTAGGATGTTTGAAAGCGAGGACGAACCTGATGCGACATCCGGGAGCCTCTAGGAATGGAGTCACTTACGGACGAACCTGATGCGAAATCAGGGAGCCGCAGGAAGGTGAAACTCGTGAACGAACCCGATGCGAAATCGGGGAGTCACTAGGATGTGATTTTGCAAACGAACTCAGCGCGTAGCTGAGGAGCTGCGAGGAGGGTGGAAAATCTGTACAGACGAACCTGATGCGAAATTAGGGAGCCGTTAGGAAATGTTAGTTTGTGCCTCGTAACTTTTGACTTTATAAGTAATACAATTCGAGCGGTAAAGTTGTATTAATGTGGGAACGGTCGACCTGATATTATTCTAAACTAGAGGAAACTAGTATATCGATAATATTACAGATTTCTGGATGGTGTTCTGGATTCAACATGAACTACACAGATTTATAAAATAACCGTATAATTAGTCAGTCTTTAGTTACAAATGTGTTGTGTAGTGTTGTCGCGTAGTGGTAAGTAATAAGAAAATAATAACTGTTACCGAAATAAATATGTGCTCGGTGTTAACGCACTGGCGATGCGGGGGTTGCGAGTGGATTTTACGGAATAGTGCCAAGTAATAATTCTAGCAAGAATACGAATAAAGTGTTCACGGTTTATTACAAGGTTAACTGAATTCGAAAGTGAACATTAGCCCGATCTCACTAACGTAATGACCAACTCACAAGAACGTGACACGATGTGACTCTAAAGGCGACGGCACAGTTCTGGCCCCCCGAGGGTTGAAATCAACAGGTTTATATAGACCTAGAAATTGGTAGGGATGCTATGAAATTTTCATACAAGGAAATCTTTGACGGTTGAGGTTGCGTCACGCTTCCTAGTTTTTAGGTTACCACGCCGTGGGAACGGGGTCCTACTCCCCAGCTTACTCGAGAGATAAGGAAACGTAAGGGCGTTTTTCTGTGCCGGGTGCGAGCTCAGTCTATTAGAGCGAGGGGTAAGAGAGAAAATTCTTCATACGTAACAGAGGTTAGGGGTTAGTGGCTAAGGGTGGCAACTAAGGTAATTTTCTTACCTAAACCAGGAAAGTCAGACTACTCAACACCTAAGGCTTTTAGGCCCATCAGTCTGACTTCCTTTACGCTGAAAACAGCAGAGAAACTAATGGATCGATATATAAAAGAATACATCTTTCCAATCACACCATTGCACGAAAAGCAACACGCTTTTCGAACAGGACACTCGGTCGAAACAGCATTGCACAATGTAACATTGGCAATAGAAAAAGCATTGAAGGTAAAATACTACACCATTGGATGCTTCCTGGACATCGAGGGGGCATTCAACATGACATCGGTAGAGGTACTGGTGACAGCAATGGAGGAATTCAATCTCCATCAAAAGCAGAAGATGTGGATAACTAACATGCTGACCAAGAGAAGGTTAGTGGCGACTAGAGGGGGCCATTCGGTTTCAGAGTATGTGAACAGAGGGTGCCCGCAAGGAGGGATACTGTCACCACTGTTATGGTGTTTGGCGGTTAACTCGCTGCTACACGCACTAGAAGAATGTGGGGTAACTATATCGGCTTATGCGGATGACGTAGTGTTTTTAGCTACCAGCAGCGATATACACGAAGCATACGACAAAGCACAGGAGGCGTTGGAGATATTGAAAATATGGTGCGACAGCACAGGTCTATCGGTCAACCCAGACAAATTGGAAGTGGTACGATTTACCAAGCGCATCAAGATACCGGCAACCGAACCTCTGAGGTACGAGGGTAAGGATTTAAAACTGGTAGATGAGGTGAAATTTTTAGGTGTAACATTCACCAAGAAGCTACTATGGAGAAGACATGTCTTCAACAAAGTGGCATGTGGGAAAAACAATCTATACATGGTGAGTAGAGCCATAGGAGGGACATGGGGATTCTCCCCTCGCATCACAAATTGGATATACAAATCCATTGTGGTGCCACGGGTGACCCATGGGGCTATCGCTTGGTGGCAGGCAGCAAAAATGACCACAGTAAAGAATAAGTTAAATAGCCTTCAGGGGCTGGCACTTAGGAGAGCTCTAGGGTCGTTAAGTACCACTCCACTAAGGGCAATGGAGGTACTAACAAACACGACCCCCTTAGACACAGTTATTTTAGATATAGCAATCAGAACAGCGCACAGGCTGAAATGTTGGGATAGCTGGACGGGGAACAGTTATGGACATGCATCGATAATCCAGAACGAAGCGGACATGGACATGAACAACTGGATGAGCATGGATCAGGATAGATGCGCTCCTAGTATGGTACCGAAACAACTATTCCAGGTAATTATTCCTACCAGGGAACAATGGAGAGGGAGCGAGCCGTTAGCGGGAGACCACATGGATTAGTACACCGACGGATCGGGTAGGAATGACCTGGCAGGAGCCGGGTGGACAAATGGAAGTACGGAGAGGCATTATGCAAGCCTAGGGAGGAACGTTACGGTGTTCTAGGCGGAGGCAGTCGCAATAATAAAATGCACGCAATTACTAATGGACAAGGGTATAAAACAAAAGACAATACGCATTTTTACAGATAGCCAGGCGGTCCTGCTGAGCGTTCAAAAGCTCATGCACACCTCAATGACGACCAGGAGATGTAAGGAATGCCTTAACGAGTTGGTATCCAGGGGCAACAAGGTAATGTTGTGCTGGGTGCCAGGTCACAAAGGCATTCCAGGGAACGAACTAGCGGATAAATTGACAAATTTGGGATCAAGAAGGGCTCCACCGGAAGGAGTGCCTAGGCAGGTGCCGCTAGCGGAGGCAGTGTTCGCCCTCAGTAGGAAAAAATGGCGCGAGGACCAGAGGAAAAGGAAATGGGACTCGGCAGAAGGATGCAGAGTAGCAAAAATGATGATAGGACAAAACCCCGTATATAAAAATTGGAGGGACCTAATGGGTCTTCCACGTGAAGACACGAGAAGGGTGGCGGGACTTTTAACAGGACACGCCATCCTCAACCACCACTTGACAAGGATTGGAGAATTGCAAGAAGAAGGATGTGATTTCTGCAACGAGGACACAGCTGAATCGGCTGAACACATATTAATGAGATGTCCAGGACTGATGGAGACGCGCTTTAAGAGGTTTAGGAAGGCGATATTGGAAGAAGAAGATGTATCCCAACTGGCAATTAGAGGAATTCAGGAATTCGTCCAAGATATAGACAGGAAATGGCCTAGGGATGAAGAGGAGGAGGAAGAAGAGGAGGTGTGGTAAGGCGGGGGAAGACGGGGGATAGAAGGAGAATAAAAAAGGGGGGGAAGGAGTCAAGGGAGAACCGAAACGCTAAGAAGGAGGAAAAGTTTTAGGTACATAAACAATGGAAGGAAGGATGCCATAAATTTATTATATAATATGTAGCGATGCGACACCGATAATGTAAACATGATAATAAAAAGGTTAACTTTGAGAAAATATACGTTACGTTGGTAAATAAACCCCATAACAAGAAATACGGTAGAGATAAGCTTAGGGAGGTAGGATAGGAAGATAAGGGGGATGAAATACGAGGGTAAAAGGAAGGGGAATAAAAATGCACAAAAAGGGAAGTTGACGGGGGAAAGAAAAGGGCGGATAGGGGAGGGAAGCAACAGGGACGAGTCTATCGATACCTAGATTCCCACTACACAATAATATTCGGGGAAGCATAGGGAACAATAGGAATATATAGGAGGGGAGTAGGGAGCGTGTCAAAACTGCGTTTGGGATAAGCATGAGGAAAAGAAAGATAGGAAAGGGAAGGAGAAAAATAATAACAAACACAACACACGAAAAGAAGAAAAGTATAAGGATATTCCTGAAGCAAGTTCCAGAACCTGGTAGTGGTGAGGTAAGAAAGAATAAACATGTAAAAAAAAAAAACAACAATGTAGTAAGAAATAAAAAGAAGATAGAATAA